ACTATGTTCTTTACACTGACTAGAATTTTAGTTCTCTATAAATATTAGCAGTTTCTCTGCTACACCTAGAATTCTCCCTCATGGCAGGCGAATTATTTCAATACATGTTAAACTCCAAAGGATAACTTGTTTTAAGTTTTTAAAGATTTATAATAGAAAATGGGCCAAAAAATTTTTTCCCAAAGTTTCTCTGTATTTTAATAATATCATCCCAAAGAGACTCTTGATTTTATTTCTCTATTTGGACTATATTTAATTCTTAAAATTAGTCATCCACTATAAAAAAGTTTTATATCAGAAAAATTTTAAGGAAATAAGAAAAAGTATGAATTAGAATAAGTATGAATTAGATGCTCATCTAAAATAGAAAGGGTGGAATTCTGGTTGTTACTGCAATTCCAAAATGGGTGTAGAAAAGAAGTCATCTATACATCCCATTCTCATATATATGAAACAATTAATTATAATTTCATTCATTAAAGTCATAAATTTTCAAAATCATAAAAACAATTGAGCAGCAAAGAAGACCTTGAAAAGCACATTGCTGTTCTGAGAGTTCTTGCAGTTCATAAAGTTGATTCCCATAGAGGGAACAAGTTGAAGTACACATTAGCTGACTCTGGGTTCCTCCAGGCTTGAGTTTCAGTGATTCGTAAAGTACCTACAGAACCCTTACTCTTAGAAAAATTCACCTCTCTCTGTCAGTGATGTATCCTCAGTTTTATATCTTCTGCCTTGTACGTATGGTTCTTAATAGTTAGAAGGGATCCACGGATCCTTTCATATTGCACCTGGAGTCTGAAGTCACTAATGGCCTCATAAACTATGTGTGTGCCAAATTATCAAACCCAGGCAAAGGAAGTAGATAGAAATTGGTAAATGTGGCTTAGGCAAGAGATTTCCTTCCTCTTTGAGTGTCCGAAGAGTAGTTGAGATATTTCAGGGTGAAGTGGGGGGTAGGGAGACCTAAACCACATCAGTCCTAAATGAATAGTCTCCTTAAGAGAATAACTGAAAAGATTCTACACAGGAGGTTGTATGTATACAACATATTTACATTCAAAGATACATTTAATGGCCAACCAGAAGGTGGATGCAGCATTTCAAATATTTAACAAAAAACCACCTCTCAATACAGTTGTACAAATTAGATCTGCATATTTAAAGTGAGAGTCTCGATTTTTCTTTTTCTTAATTTCTGCTAGTTTCCTTTTGTGGACTGTTTTCCAAGCTCGAGTATTGTTTGGACCGAGTGGATCTTTAGGCTTTCTAAAAGCAGGGGAAATCATACCCGTAGCAGGACCAAGTCAGCATGCTTGCCAGCAGTCGCCCTGAGTCACAGCTGGAGCGTCCTGTGGTTAGCATTCTGCTCTGACAACAGGCTCAGGAGTAGCAGGGGCCTACTGGTTTCCATGGCAACCAGTATTTGTGTACTTTGAAAAATGACTGTTCCTTTTTGTGTGGTAAATTTACGCGGGAACGAATTGTAGAGGTGACGTTAGCCATCTGTGTGAATACAAACAAACAAAAAAAGCCTAATTTAATTAAGTGTAAACTTTAGAAGGACATAAAATTGGGGGTTGAGGTGTTTTTGTGTAGAGGTTTTGTTCTACACTAATTAATTAATTCATTTATTTGACATATTTAAACATTTTCATCAATGTCTATTTGATGTTTATTTCAATGCATCACTCTCTCCCCTCCAAAGGCTAAAAGAGACTAATTGTCATTCATCAGTGTTCCCCCCAAACCCGCTCCCTTTGCCCCCGCCCCACCCCCCCATCCCATTCACAATGTGTTATTTAAGAAAGACTGGGATTCAGGGGCTCTCCTTCAATGAGGTAATCCTATCCGGAAGGAAGAAAAAAAAATCCCCTCCAAGTTATGTGAAAATGTCAGGTTTCTTAACCTTCCTGAGCTGGGGAAGCAAAAATACTGTACTGCTTATGACCTTGTGTAGAATCTAGAAGACAGTTCCTCAAAATGTCACTACAACCGTTTCAGAAGATCCATCGAGCTTAGAGCAATTATGGTTATAGAGAAATCTTACCTTGTGTTTTGTTGCATAAAGATGAAATAATTAAAGTTTTGGTCACTGAACTACAACCCAAAGTTAAGAATGAGCCTTCTGGGGTGGAAAATAGTAGAGTGTTTCTTGCTTATTATACCTCTGCTTGGGAACAGTATGTTTATTTTTGTATTAATTAGTTTTGAATTGGAATTGGTGCACTGGAGTTAATAAAAAACAAAACAAAACAAAACAAAACTCTGAAGCTAGGATAAATATCCTAAGGCGATGCAGTAATTTAGGAGTAAACAGAGTGCAGCATGGCCCTTCTCCCCCACGTCCACACCCTGCCTGAGATGGGGGGACCTGCCATCAGAAGGGAAGGATTTTTTTGTTGTCCCGTTTTCTTTCTGTGTTGCTTTGTCCTTTCCCTCATTTTTGCTGCCTCATTATGGCTTCTGTCAACTATCTAGACAGACACTTGCTAATAAATATACCTCATCAAAGCAGCAGTAGTAGTAAAAAATCAAAAGGAAGCTGAAGTGATAATCCTGAAAAATAAACTTCCTCTTTATTCATTCGCTTAAAACGCTGAGGTTTACTACCTAAGGGTGAGTTATATAACGGACTTCTGAGTTTCCCACTTTCTCTGCTGAACTTCCCCCAAATATCACAAACATGGATACCTGATGAGCAGCTAGTTTTGAGAACTCAATGAGACAGGCCAAGATTTAGAAATCTGTAATTTATTATGACCTTGAACAAGGCCCTGCCTGATCCCCGATCCCCTTCTACAGAGCAGCCACAAAGGATCCAGACTCTTTGTTGCCTACAAGGAACATGCTGAAATTTAGGACTGTAAGACCTTAATATGTATCTAACTATGCAGGATTCAAGTAATAGTGCAGATTAATTCCCATCGAAATAAATGCAGTTGTAGGGGAAACCATTGTGTTCATTCATTGAAGATGTAGTGGGAATCTGCCCTTGACTTACAAGGCAGAGGAGACTGGGAGAGGTGGTCCAGGCTCTAAGGAAACTCATAATCAGTAGGAGAGATAAGACACACATGCCTGTAACTAGAATACAAAGGAATGTGACCATTTCTACAAAGAAGCACAAGTAAAAAGTGGAGGGGTTTCAAAGGAAAACTAATTTATGACTGGCTGTAGGGATTAGGAAGGCTCCATGAGGGTGCTTTGTAGAATTTGATGATAAAGTTTTTTTCCATGCTTCAACCAATATGTTTAAAACATTTTTTTATATCATAATATTTCAGTAAATAAAAACAATTTGGTTGGGGCACCTGGGTGGCTTGGTCCATTAAGTGTCTCACTTTTGATTTTGGCTCAGGTCATTATCTCAGCATCCTGGGATCCAGGGATCCAGCCCTGGGTCCAGCTCTCAGCGGGGAGTCTGCTTCTCTCCTCTGTCTCTCCCTCTACCCCCCCATTCACACGCACTCTCTCTCTCTTTCAAATTAAATGAATAGATTTTTAAAATAATAATAATTTCATCAATTTGGAATGTATTAAAACCAGATTATACATTTACCTACAGACACATGCAAACACATGAACTCACACATACTCTTACATATGTATACTCTCTAAGAGAATAATCAAGGAAATCCATAAGTCTACAATTGAATATTTTCAATTTTGTTGTGATGGACTGTTCATTCCAAGGGTAACTAGAACAAAGTAGACAGCAATGTAGACATTAGTGGATTAAAAGAAAATACAATAGCTTGAGTAACGAGGAGCCAATCTTTTTCAACTATCATTATTTCTTGATTGGAGAGATATGGCAGAGAAGCTTATTATTTTTTTTTTTAGCTTAGAGGTATGTATCTGATGAAATTAATGAGGCAGATAAAGGGTACATGACAGGATGTACAAATAGTTTAGTGGGAAAGTGGGCAAAGACCTCAGCAGAAAAGTTCCAGGGGAAGAAATATAAATGCCTAGTAAGCATGAAAAACCTTCAACCTCAAAGTAGCATAAATTAAGACAATTATAAAACCAAAAAATTTTTCCTATCAGCACCAGCTTTAAAAATAATAGCAGTCGTGATTGCCAAGGTCCCCTGTAAGAACCATTTCAGTAAAATACTAGTGGGGGGTACACTGGTATAAACTTTCTGGTAAGAGATTTAATGATATATATCAAGAGCCATAAAAGATGATACTCTCTGATTCATTCCCCTTACAGGAATCTTTCCTGAGGGACATTTAAAATATCAAACAAATACTCATATTGGCAAAAAAATTGGAAATGTCCTCAATGAACTACAACACAGTATTAGTAGCATTTTACGCCACCATTAAAAATGTTTACATAGACTATTGAGTGACATACTTAGAGAAAAACTGGGAACACAATTAAATGTGTAGCCTGAATTTATACACACACATATACACCTGGACACATGTGTGTATATGTACATATATAAGCAAACGAAAAAAAAATGTTGGTAAGAGAAAGTTCTGGTATTAACAAAATATTAAGAGTGGTTATCTTCAGTGGGATTAATTTTCGTATTTACCTTTTACATAGCTTTCTAAAATGTCCAAATTTTTATAGTTAGTATTTATTTAAAAATTTGTACATCTTACAACTATAAGACTGATATTCACTGGACATCTCTCATGTGTCATTAATGTGTGAACACATCTCATCCGGGCTACCATTTTCTTATTCTGTGCCTGGATTTACACTTTCGAGGGAACTTACTAGGCTGACCTAAAACCAAACATTACTACTTGGGTTTCCAGCTTTATTGGGCTTAGGAATCACCCATAAAACTCTCTCTATATATTTGTCTATTTTTAATGCTTATGTGAAGCCTCCTGTGCTCAAACCATCTCAGCAGATTTACCCTCAACCTTTCAGCCAAGAAGCAGCTTTTGCTACATGAGCAGACTCTGCTTTTTTCCATGTGACAAGCCATGTGAAGTCTCTCACATTGGGAAGTTTCTCCTTGATTTCAGCTCCATGACGGCCCCCGGCGGATTGGACGCTACTGTGGAACAGATATGCCACCCACAGGGAGCACCACAGGCTCCAAGCTTCAAGTGCTGTTCTACACCGATGGGGTCAGTCACCATGAGAAAGGATTTCAGATGCAGTGGTTCATTCACGGTAAGCCCTGTGCTGATCTTCGTTGTATTTGATAGTTGCTGTTTGACTAAGAATTATTCCTTTCCCAATTCTCTCTTTGGAACCAATCCCGCCTATGAATACTAGGAACAGGGGCAGTAAGCTGGTGCTAGGCCTTGGACCGTTTCCTCAGTCATTGGTGGCTCTGGGAGAGCTAATCCGGGTAGGGTTAAGAGAGGATGGGCCGTGAATAGCTGCTGACGTCTTTGCAACAATAAATTGCCAAAGAGAACAATAAATTGCCAAGGAGCAGAGTGAAGTTTCTAGTGGGGTAAAACCTACAGCTGGGTGTGGCAAGCTAGGTGGCATTAGAGTCTCCCAGGGGGAGTGGAGTGGAATGAGATTCAAGGCTTATTCTGACATAGCAGAGAAAGAATGGTGGGGGGGTGGGAGGGATAAAAGGATAAAAGGGCAAGGATGGAAGTCACTCTGAGAGAGACGGGGGGGCACTGGGCTGAGAGGGGGACAGGAGTAGAGAACTCACACTCAGCCAGGGCGTGTGTTGTAGCTGCCAAACAGAGTTGGGGCATGTCAGCACCCACCTATGAACTGGTGGTTCAGAAAGCACGTAGAGATAATCATTCCTCTGAGGATGAGCATTCATATTTAATGAGAGTTCCGGAACTTGGAGATTGACCTCATGTGGCCCAGTCTAATGAGAGGAGGCCCCAGAGCAGTGGTTCTCAAAATACGGTCACCCAAGAGCAGTATCAACATCACCCGGAACTTGTGAGAAGTGCACATTCTGGGGCCCCCTCCCAGACCTATGGAAACCTGATAATCCACATCTTAACTAGTCTCCCTGGTGATTCAAGTTTGAGAACCACTCTCCTAGAGGGATCCACACCTAACAAATACAGTCCTTGTGACTATTATCGTAGGAGTTCTCAACCAAGGTCTTAGGACTCGCTGGTCTGTTTCAGTCAATTTGAAAGAGAAGTGGAATTGGAATATTATCACACACAGATAGCTAAACGTTATCCTACTGTGGCCCTACTGTCCGAATCAGGGGTGAGCCCAAGGCAAGCACACATAAATGTGGATTGTGGTGGACTCTTGAGGTTTGTTAAAATCATAGTCCTTTTATTATATGAATCTTAGCACTGTACAGAAGTGAATGCCCTTACTGTATACTTAAGAGTGTTAGATGTTCTGTTAACATGAGCTGGAGACTGGGTGTATTTCTGTTAAAATACAAGTATGGGGCCTTCAGTATTTAAAAATATTCAGTGGTAATCCACAGAGCTACTTATAGCTTGAAATACAGATTAGGAATTCACAAAGTGAATGAGCTATGATAATTAAGCCTGTGGGAGTTCTGGCCTGTTCTCTTCACCGAGGGGGTGGATTTAACCTTGAAATGTAAATTTATTGACTTGTTAAGTGAAGGGACTGGATTGATTTATCTGTATAATACAGTCCATCTCTAGTATTCTGTGATTCAGAGATGGCGTGATTCTAAGGCAACCAGAGAAGAGTGCGAAAAAACCTAGAAGACACAGGAACACCTTGAGAAATGACCCAGATTTTCAAGGGCTGCGGATATTTTCCAGAACAGCGTTTCTCAGACTTTCACATGCATGTGAATCACTGCATGTTAAAATACAGAGTCTGATACAGGGGCCTGAGGTAAGGCCCATGAATCCTAAATGAATTTCTAAAAAGCTCCCAGGGACTGCTGATGGTGCTACTCTGTAGACCACACTTGGAGGAGCAAGGCGAGAGCAGATGTTAAGGCTGAAGACATAAAATAGTAGAAAGACAGCATCTCTGGAGACTAGAGAAAGCTTCTAAGGTGCTCCAAGGGCGCACTGTACTAAGAGCAGAATAATATCCTCAATCTTTTGATGTCAGGAGGATACGAGCTGGGGCTTCTGTAAGAAAGAACTTTATTGCTTCCGAAAGATCCAAAGGGGAGGAAAACTTTCACGCGAGACAGAAGGATGGAAAGGAAGAAATGCTAACCAGGAGGTGGAGATTCAGGGCCTAGGGAAGAGGTCCCCAGCCCTAGATACACATTGGAATTTCATGGGAGTTGTAAAGAGAACCCATGTACCGTGTTCAGCCTTCAGAGATAGGATTCAGTTCGTCCTCGGTGGGACCTTGACAATGGCTAATTAAAAAAATCTCCCTAAGTAATTCTGCCATGTGTTTAGGATGGAGGGTTTTAGGAGCAGTGATTTTGCTGTTGCTGGTTAATACCTTTCTTCTCGGTGGGTTCCTTCCTCTCCCTTCCAGGTTGTTCTAGCTATCATACCTGCAAGGCCACACTAAGGAGTACGATTTTATGGTCATTATTGGCTAGACTGGATTACTGTATCACTAGATTCTTTCAACCAACATGCTAGACGTGGCTGAATCCTCTGCTGAAAGCTCTGAGTTTGTTTTGGGAAAATTTTTTTCTACCAGTTCTATTTGGAATCTGTCTTTCTTTGGGAGAGTCAAAGACACTCTCTGTCTATTCTCTTTTCATGTTTACTATTTCACAACTTTCTCCCAATTGCTGACAACTTGCTAAGCTTGGAATCAGAGTTGTAAAACAAAATTTTGCCAAATGGGACCAGAACTTTTTTTTAACTCTGTGCTGCCCGCTATATATAAATTACACTTGGGAAGAACCTTCTGGAAGGGGATTGTTAGTGGTGTAGATCTGTGCAAAATTAACTATCATATACTACAGTTAGGCAATGCTTCATGTACACAGAGTTTCTACTCTGCATTTTGACTTGATCTTTAACTTGAGGTAGTCTGGGGAGTGGGGCCAACAGAAAAGACTAGGGTCAGAGAAGAGGTCTTTGATAGGAGAGGGTCTCCCACTTCTTACCCAGCAGAGGTGGACCGAAGACATAAATCTGATTTCATAGTCACCCGTGTGTTCATTCCACAGATACTGAGGAATTGTTTAGGGCTGGGTACTGTGCTAGGGCTGGGGCCAGGGTGCGACTCCCACCCACAGGCCTGGTTCCTGGTTTTATAGAGCTCCGCTGGGTGTCTTTGAGAAATAGCCACCAAGCAATATGCTCACAAGTCAACATAAAGTCAGAAGTGTGATAAGGACCATGGGAGCTCATAAAAGGGAATTTGATCTAGACATGAGGTCAGAGAAATCCTGCATGAGAATAGGACCTTTGAACTAAAATCTAGGAATAGGCAGGAATTACATAGGCAAATAGGAGAAGGAAAAGGATTTCCGGTAGAAGAAGGTCCCTGTGGTTGGAGACAGCAGGGTAAGTATGAGGCACCCCAAACCCAGTGTGGCTGGGGTCCAAGGTCGCGAGCTGAGCTGTAGCCAGAGCGTTCTGGTCACTCAGGTCACTCACAGTTAGGGGCTCAGGCAGGGATAGGGGCCACACCCCCTCTTTCCCCTAAACCCTTGAGATTTCAGGGAGAGCAGTTCTAGTAGGACTTTAAAGCACTGAAGCCACATGCCATGTGGCGGGATTCAAAATACAAACTAAAACACAAAATGTAAATAAATACAAAACAAGCAAAGACAAAATCCAAAACACATTAAACAACTGGTCTCCATGTGACAGTATAGTAGGCATACTGTTGAGTACACGTGTTTGTGCACATGTGTAGGTGAAGGTATTTCAAGAAGCTCATCTGTGCACAGACCCTCCAGGCCAGGGCCCAGGACACCCAGCCTGACTCTAGCACTGATGCTGCTTTTCTTTCCCTGGCCCGAAGGAAGCGCCTTTAAACCTGTAGCCTCTTGGGCGCCTGGGTGGCTCAGTCGGTTGGGCGACTGCCTTCGGCTCAGGTCATGATCCTGGCGTCCCGGGATTGAGTCCCGCGTCGGGCTCCCTGCTCGGCAGGGAGTCTGCTTCTCCCTCTGACCCTCCTCCCTCTCATGCTCTCTGTCTCTCATTGTCTCTCTCTCAGATAAATAGATGGAATCTTTAAAAAAAAAAAAAAAACCTGTAGCCTCTTTTCATTCGAGATATCTAATTTAAGGTGCTCATTCCCCGCCCCCTAGCTCTTTTCCAAACTGTGCAGTAAGAACTCCAAGAAGCTCTTCACTGAGAATTCAGAATCTACACTGGTATCATTTCCTGAGCATTGCTGCTGAGGAGAATCCACACCCCCGCCCCCCGCCCCACACTTCATTTATTTTGCCAATTAATAAATAAGCCTGTTTTCAAAATGTCCTTCTTTGTCAACTGCACAAATCTTCTATTTGCTTTGAGAACATGGATGTACAATCAGGCTTTATTTTGTGGGCCCATTTTTAAAGAGGCTCTGTAGATGTGAGATTAAACCGCACTGCCTCGCCTTTATGCAAACCATCAAAGAGAATCCCACTCTGGAAAGAAAGAAATGGCCACAGTTGCCCTGCCTGGCTAAAGGGTTCACAGTATTCAGTGTTGACAGCATTGTCCAGGGGCTGAATTCAGCCTTGGGGGCCTCCATCTGGGTTGCTGAAGGGAATAGAGAACTCTCTGCAAGCTGTGTGAATAGAGGCCTCCCTCCCGGTTGGCTGTGCACACCCCTCGCCTCTTCTGGCCGTCCCTCCCAGAGGCCCTCTTTTATAGGCAGTGGGATCCAGCATACAAACAAGGTCAAGGAGCTTTGTGAGTGAAAGAGTGACATTTGCAAAGGGAGAGCACCCCTGAGCTGGGAATAGCTGGGGAAGGGCTAAGTGGCATGTGATCGGGAGGTGATGTCACCCTGGGTTTTCACAAAGGAAAGTGTGGCCTTTTCTTTGGTGAGATAGATGACATCAGCCTCTTGAATGGGGGCTGGTTCCATTTTGCCTTCTTTTTAGCTGCTAACGAGATTTCTCAAGCCTTGAGGGGAATCAGCTGGGGAGAACATGGCTCCCCTTCTCCATGGCTGGCTTGGTTTGAACATGAGCCAGTCCCCTCTTGAGTACTTACAGACATGTAGCACCATATGAAAGGGCTTTTAAAAAAATATAATTTTAGAGCCCTGGCAAAGAACCTCCATGAGGTCAGCAATGTTTCTTTTAGACCTTCCGT